AGGAAAATAGAATTAGCATTATACTGACTAAAGGCGCTACCTTAAGTGTGACAAGTGAGTCGATCTGCCACCTTTTCTAGATGAATTCGTGGAATGGTTGTATCTTAGAGTTCCAAACTTTTTACCGTTGACTTTCCCCAAAATAGACAGGTTTTTGCCAAAGCGGGTTTCAACAATACACCATCACCCTGTCACTAGAATGAACGATGTTCCCACAGACTGACTTGATCAAATAACGTTTTAGCTGTTATTACGTTCAGTGATGTTGCATTTAAAAGATCAAATCTATCATGTTAATAAATGTTAATGAATTATTACATAAGAAATATTTTGTTGTATTTTAAAGCGACTATACGTGGTACTATTTTGCATAGCATAGTAATGTAATTACCACTGCAATTTAATACGCAGAGGAATACGAATCAGCTGTTTGAGGTGACAAATCTGTCTCCGGGTGATTTTATATTTCATGTTTATTTTTAAAAATTACATTATGGGTAATAAATAGAATAACCAACTCGGTACGAGCAATTACGGGAAATATGCCCTCGTTAAAATGATGTTCAGTGCCTCGCCAAGACTCAGCACTGTGAACATTATTTCAACTCGGGCATATTTCCCGTAATCACTCATACCTCGTTGGTTATTCTCTAAATATACTAGGTGTACTATTGCCCTGCCTTGGTGTGCAATGTATCATACAGATTAAAGTTTCCATAGGGAAACAAAAACCCAGGTCTATTATACCAGTGAAAGTATTACCACAGGGATGAATCCTCTGTTACAATTATTCTTGCAGCAATTTGACTCAAATAATTCAAAACCTCTCTGCTTACTCAGGTTTTATAATGAATATGAATTTTGTTCTGAAACAATTACGCTAGCATGATGTAATTTTCACTATGCATCTGAAATATGGAAGAAACTGTCAGACATGCTGGAAGCTGTACAGAAGCCAGAGGTAATTTCAGTTACAAACACCTATTGTTTGGACATAAAATAAAGATCAAACTGTCACTTTAAAGCAGTAATTATGGTTAAAACATTTGTGCTTAACAGATTTTATAGAAAAAGATAAAACCAGTTGTTTTCAGTTCAAAAAGTAATATTTAGATATTATGAAACTACAATATGTATTTGATTTTCAGATTGTAATTATGGAAATGTCCACTACTTCTTGTCTGCTTTACACTTTGTTTGAAAAACCTCTTACACCAAAGATACAAAATAATCTATAACAGAAGCAACATCTGCATGTATGCTGCATGTATAGTTATGTTAAAATGGGAAATAAATATTTAAACGCTCTCTGTTCTGCATGAGTCAATCTCCATTTATCTGTGTTGATCGAGGTAGAGTGTCCTCTGTGTGACCTTCCTATAACTAGTGGTATCAGAGGCAACAAAACCGGAAGTATGTTTCATTTATCATTAACCACATATGACCATATGAAATGATTACACTCAACGCACGAAGATAACGTTTCAGGGATGATACGAGGTCCATGGCTATTATCTCACTACGGACACTACGTCCCTGCACACATTGCACAGTCACTAAGTGATCTGGTAAAATTACAAAGATTATAAGATTTAGACTAGATCTGAGTGTACTGGGTTTTGAAAGGACCAGCCTGAAAATCTGTCTTACTAAGAATTCCACATGACCGATTCAGGTAATTCAAGCATTTCACTTCAAAGAATTGTTGGCAAGAATAGGTCAAAGACACCAAAGCCAGTTTAAATTGTTTACCTATTTGTATACCAGAATACCGTGAGGGAGGAGGGGAGAATATATTCAAACCTGGTCCAGAAAAACAACTATATGAATTTAACCCTTGTTCACTTTTATTCTATGGGAGCAAGAATTTATAACCAAGGTAGGCATTTTGTAGTTAAGTTCTACAGTTTGTGCTTTATCATAAATACACATCCAAAACAAAGTATTATTATCATAATTGTGATTGTAGCTAAATGTAGCATTGCACCTAACTCATTCTGATCTTTGAAGTGTGAAGGCAGGGAAAAAGGCACCTTTATGTCATTCATATGGATTAAGGAAGTTAAATGATAAAGATATATGATGAGTACACTTAATTATGGTTTGTTTAGAATAAATGTAAAAAGATGATGCATCATGTCAATGTGGCCAGTGGTGTATATTATTCAAAGATATAAACTGTTCAAATCTTTACAAAATATTGTTAAAAATAGAACACTGATTTGTATTAATCTTATCTTACATGGCCATGCAGATCTCTACTACTGAAAACCAGAATGTTTTCAAATATGTACATATCTAGATCTCTCAAACAAAACGTTTTCTCAGTTACCGTCTGTCGTACATATCTTAGCCTATGGCTGTCACTTGTGTACATTGTAAGATGAATTGTGTAATTATCTGGAGAGGGCTTTTCTAAGTTGGATAACTTGTGCCCAATCCTTTTCTTGAATGAATAAAATATGTTTCAGTCAATTATGACAATAAAACCTCTCAGTGGCAAACCTGTTTTTATATATATAGTAATTGATTGAAAAAACAGTTTTGAGAAGAGAAGACAGATTATCAGTTAATCACAACAAAGTTCTCTTTAGATCAAACTTTTCAGTAACGAACCTGTTTCAGGCTCACCCTACACTACTCAAGTGGACTGTTCCATTGTACTCATAGATGTTTCCCTGATGAACCTTCCAGTTCAGTGTCTGTCAATCGGGGGCAGTGGGGTAGTCTTGTGGTTAAAGCGTTGGCTCGTCACGCCGAAGACCCGGGTTCGAATCCCCACATGGGTACAATGAGTGAAGCCCATTTCTGGTGTCCCCGCCGTGATATTGCTGGAAAATTGCTAAAAGCGGCTTAAAACCAAACTCAGTCAGTCAGTCTGTCAATCGACTGTCTCTCATTTGTGTGTCTGTCAATTGAGAGATAACCTGCACAAATGTCAGATGCTCAAAAATAACTTGTCATTTTTAGCAATGAATTTTTTAGTTGCTTGCATGGAAATTCTACTGAATAAACAATGTTTATTTAAAACACCATTTTAAAGCAAAGCTGATGGTCGTTATCCTGTGTAGACTTTTAGTATGCATGTATTTCCTAATGAGTTTTATAAACTGATTCAAGCTTCTCAAACATTGCGTGTTAACAGTGGGTATTATTGGTTTATAGATGCCCAATAGACTGAACTCTAGGGCGTAACTATTAAATAACCTATTTGCAAATATACCATCACAACGGGAATGATAACAAAGTGCACAATGGCTTAGGAGCATGTCTGTAGCCCTGGCACAGCTGATGTTGTGTCCTCTATGTCCTGTATAGTGTAGCAGCTTTTGTTTTTTAGACTAAAAACTGCCTTTTTCTGCTTCTGTTTGCTTTGCACAGTTGCAGTGTTTGTATGTATGTATGTATGTATGTATGTATTCTTTGGAAATATTTACATAAAATATGTCACATGCTCATAAAACTGTAAATGATCATGTATACAGTTTCTTTGAAATCACAAAATTTTAAAACTGAAACTTAAAGTCAATTCATACTTTATATATGTATAATATGTTCAAATGTGTAATATTTTTTGGTGAAAAAATTGCAACAATCAATGTCTTTACATGTTGCTTTGATCACAGATATTCCTGTTATGATTAATCGAGAAGTGTTTTTTTTCATGATGTTATTTTCTGCTTAACAGTTGTTTTGTACAGCTCTTTGTGGCTGTTTGTACTACAGTAAATAGACATGGCTGACATTATTGTGTCTGAATTTGATCGTACATGACTACACTGTACTCAGACAATGTGTTTCGTTACTTGTTGGAATATAGATATGGTTCTGATGATTATAGCTGAACAGATGATGATTCCATTTCATCTCTCCTCACATCACCTCACATTTTTCTTACCTTCTCATTTCCTAACCTCTCCTCTCCTCTCTTCTAATCTCCTCACCCAAAGTCACCTCTCCTCACCTGTCCTCTCCTCTCCTCTTCTCTCCTCTCCTCTCACCTCTCCTCACCTGTCTTCTCCTCTCCTCACCTCTCCTCCTCTCCCTCATCACCAGTCTTCTCCTCTCCTCACCTCTCTTCTCCCTCCTCACCTCTCCTCACCTGTCTTCTCCTGTCCTCACCTCTCCTCCTCTCCCTCCTCACCTCTCCTCACCTGTCCTCTCCTCTTCTCTCCTCACCTCTCCTCTCCTCTCCCTCCTCACCTTTCCTGTGTTCTCTCCTTCCTCACCTCTGCTCCTCTCCCTCCTCACCTGTTTTCTCTTCTCTCCTCACCTCTCCTCTCCCTCCTCACCTCTGCTCCTCACCTCTGCTCCTCACCTCTCCTCTCCTCTCCCTCCTCTCCCTCTTCACCTGTCTTCTCCTCTTCTCTCCTCACCTCTCCTCACCTCTGCTCCTCTCCTCACCTCTCCTCTCCCTCCTCACCTGTCTTCTCTCCCTCCTCACCTCTGCTCCTCTCCTCACCTCTGCTCCTCTCCCTCCTCACCTGTCCTCTCCTCACTTCACCTCTCCTTCTCCTCCTCTCCCTCCTCACCTCACCTCACCTGTCCTCCCGTTCTCTCCCATCCTCCCCTCACCTGTCCTCTCCTCACTTCATCTTTCCTCACCTGTGCTCTTCTCCTCTATCTCCTCTCCTCCCCTGTCCTCTCCTAACCTGTGCTTTTTTCACCTCGCCTCACCTCACCTGTCCTCTCTTCCTCACCCCTCTCCACTCCTCTCTTCTTCTCCTCTCCTCTCCTCTACTCACCTTTCCCAACTCTCCTCATCACTCTTCTCACCTCACCTCTCTTCCCTTTCCTCTCGTTTCCTGTCCTCTGCTCACCTCATCTGTGATAGTTATGATCTCACCAGTTTCCGCTGTTGAACTGGATGATTTCAGAATGGAATCTTAGAATCATAATCATCATAAGTGAGCCATCATAGCACTGAGATCGTTTTGTGGAACTGACCCAAGCATATTTCGTGTGTCCATGTAGATGTATGTGTTCAATGTGTGTATCAGAGCCCCTGGAACAACCAAGGAACGTCAAGTGCATATTTCATGCAAAGAAGACCGTCAACTGTACATACGATGTTTCTGACACAAAGGGACATAACTCCTACACATGCTATATGGGCGCTTGCTTCAGTGACTGGTATGTAGACATTACCATATTTGACTGATTTCTGTGCTTTCTTATTTGCTGAAATTAAAGTTGTGTAAAGGTGATGAAGGTATGTGTCTTGCACAAATACAATGAGTTGTGTGGAAAATATGCTCAATGGCTAAAATAACTAAAGCATTTTATTGATAAATGGAAGTTAATTGTGATTGTAATGGTTCTGTGAGAATTAGATGACTGATCAGACCTTAATCTCATTTTTAATTTGTAAACCTGTGGACCTGTTTCAGGAAGAAGCCAACAGTGTTAGAGAGAGGAATCTAAGAATTATTATCACTGTTGATAATGTATAATTTTGTGTTCATGTTTACAAATTAAATAGTTCAGTGTATTTATGAAAAATATTGTTTGATGCTCACATATCTCAAGCTGTCTCTGCTACAAGAGATTCTGTGACTTTGGCTTTGTCTTTTGTTCATTGTATCAGTCACTGGTTTATTGATTCCAGATATGACTGTTTGCAGGTCACTTCAGTTCAGTGTGTTGTGGAATAAACACACTACCTAATGCGATGGGTAGGCTGCTTAATGTGACAAATCTGTTTTCAGGAACGCAAATAATATGACGTGCAAAGATCATAACTTGAGCAGGTTACAAAACACCACAATTCGAGGCCGTTGTAATTTTGACTGCCAACCCCCGGGGGCTACTGATCAGTGCTGGGAGGATACCTTCATAATCATCATCCGCGGCCAGCAACCCAATCACCAGGTGTTCTACTGCAGCAAGATGAGTCTCAAACAGATCGGTAAGTTGAACAACTACTGCCCATGTTGTCTAACCCTTCTGTGTTACCTGATGTGGACTTAGGTCTTAATGCATAGGCGCGCAAGGCGCACATAACTGACGTATTATTAGAGTGACTATTTACAACATCCCAGGGTATTGTTGGACACTGTACCCATGGGGGAGTCATGATAAGCAAAAACACTTTAACAATGAGGCTAGATGTAGTCACACATTGACTGGTATATGGACTCTGATGTTTGGAGTGGGACATTTGACTAGCGCATACGTGATGGCTGGATGTTAGACCAAGCTTTTCTCATGATATAAGCAAAAACACTTTAACAATGAGGCTAGATCCCTGCTTCCTAGTGGAATCGGAATTTGACATGTGATTGACTGGTATATGTGATGGGTGGAATGTTTGACTGGTATATGTGATGGGGTGGAATGTTTGACTGGATGGGTATATGTGATGGGTGGAATGGGTGGAATGTTTTGACTGGTATATGTGATGGGGATGTTAGACTGGTATATGTGATGGTATATGTAAGACTGGTATATGTGATGGGTGGAATGTTTGACTGGTATATGTGATGGGTGGGATGTAAAGACCGGCGGACTGGGTTTATATGTCATGGGTGGGATGTTTGACTGGTATATGTGATGGGTATGACTGATATATGTCATGGAATGTGGAATGTTTGACTGATATATGTGATGGGTGGAATGTTAGACTGGGAATGTAGATATGTGATGTGGGTGGAATGTTTGACTAGTATATGTGATGGGTGGAATGTTTGACTGGTATATGATGGTATATGTGATGGGTGGAATGTTAGAGATGGGTGGAATGTTTGTGGTATATGTGATGGGTGGAATGTTTGACTGGTATATGTGATGGGTGGAATGTGATGGTGGGATAGACTGGTATATGTGATGGGTGGGAATGTTTGACTGGTATATGTGATGGGTGGGATGTTTGACTGGTATATGTGATGGGTGGAATGTTTGACTGGTATATGTGATGGGTGGGATGTTTGACTGGTATATGTGATGGGTGGAGATGTTTGACTGGTATATGTGATGGGTGGGATGTTAGACTGGTATATGTGATGGGTGGGATGTTTGACTGGTATATGTGGTGGGTGGCGCGCACGTGGAATGTTTGACTGTTATATGTGATTATGATGTGGGATGTTAGACTGTTAGACTTTGAAACTAGTATATGATGGCTGGGATGTTGACTGAGTATATGTGGGCGGTGGGATCAGTTACTGTTATATGTGATTCGTGGGAAATTTGAAAACATTTAAAAGAAGTCAAAGACTTCTGAAGTAGTTCATGCTTTTATTTAATTCTTTTTTTTTTATCCAGATGGTATCAAAAACTTGCTCATGTTAGTCAAACTTTCCTGATGGCCTCTTGCGTCACAACAAATCCTCATGCATATAGACACATCTAATCACTTTTATCGGTGTGTTAAAATCTTCTTTCAAAAGTGCCCCACTCACACACCATGTCCTTTGAGGAATTCATGTCCTTTGAACTATAATTTCAGAGAAACCAGGTCCAGTTGGAGACTTAACAGAAATCAAAATTAGACGAAGATATGTCAAACTCAACTGGACTAAACCTCATCCGCACGACAAAGGTGTCTACAACTACACTGTCAGCATTACCGGGGGTCGGAATGGATCTCAGAAGGTCAGTGTTGAGTCATGGAAGTGTAGAGATTATGTTTTGTTCAACTCTCCATCCAGGGTCATATTAGTCATATTAGATCTCAGGCCAGTGTTGGGTCATGGAAGGGTACAGATTATGTTTTGTTCAACTCTCCACGAAGTCATATTAGATCTCAGGCCAGTGTTGGGTCATGGAAGGGTAAAGATTATGTTTTGTTCAACTCTCCAGGGTCATGGAAGGGCACAGATTATGTTTTGTTCAACTCTCCATGGGGTCATATTAGATCTCAGGCCAGTGTTGGGTCATGGAAGGGTACAGATTATGTTTTGTTCAACTCTCCATGAGTCATATTAGATCTCAGGCCAGTGTTGGGTCATGGAATTGTTCAACTCTCCAGAGTCGAGTCATAGTTAGATCTCAGGCCAGAGATTTGGTTCAATCATGATCTCAAGTGTTGGGTAGAGATTATGTTTTGTTCAACTCTCCATGAGTCATATTAGATCTCAGGCCAGTGTTGGGTCATGGAAGTAAAGATTATGTTTTGTTCAACTCTCCAGGTCATAGTGTTGGGTCATGGAAGGGTACAGATTATGTTTTGTTCAACTCTCCAGGAGTCATATTAGATCTCAGGCCAGTGTTGGGTCATGGAAGGGTAAAGATTATGTTTTGTTCAACTCTCCAGGGTTCATATTAGATCTCAGGCCAGTGTTGGGTCATGGAAGGGTAAAGATTATGTTTTGTTCAACTCTCCAGGGTGGGTCATATTAGATCTCAGGCCAGTGTTGGGTCATGGAAGGGTAAAGATTATGTTTTGTTCAACTCTCCAGGAGTCATATTAGATCTCAGGCCAGTGTTGGGTCATGGAAGGGTAAAGATTATGTTTTGTTCAACTCTCCAGGGTTCATATTAGATCTCAGGCCAGTGTTGGGTCATGGAAGGGTAGAGATTATGTTTTGTTCAACTCTCCATGGGTCATATTAGATCTCAGGCCAGATTAGTCAACTCTGGGTCATGGAAGTGTTGGGTCATGGAAGGGTAGATGTTTTGTTCAACTCTCCATGGGTCATATTAGATCTCAGGCCAGTGTTGGGTCATGGAAGGGTAGAGTTTGTCTTTGTTCAGCCCATATATGTTTTTATTGGTTTCGTATATATTGGGTAGAATGGATGTAAGTCTGGATAAAATATTTGTACAAAGTGAGATATAATGAGACATGAATGTAATATTGAATTTAGGTATCAATGTGCTCACGAGGGAAGCTTGAAAAATCTTTCAACCAATCTCCCCCCAAAAAAATATATTATGACCAGAGCAACATTTCTTTGAGATTGAGACTTCTGAATAATGAAGAATGTTGTCAAATTATGTTTCACTTGTCATAAGTGATGACAGTGGTACCAGTGTTTCATGTTTCTAGGAGTTTTATACCTTTTTGAAATAATTTCTCTAAAATCTATACCCTTTATTTATATCCTATCTAACATTATGCACATTCTCTCTTCTTTTGACTGTGGAATGGAACCGACCTAGAACAAAGTTTTCAGCCACTTGTAACTCCTACAGCAATGGCTAGAGCTGGTGTGTGTCCAAACACCAGATGCTCACATATTGCCCAACACACAGCAGCTCTAGTCATTGCTGTTGGCAGTCACGGGAAACCTATGCAAAACTTACAAGTTGACCACGTCATTCTCATTCGTCGATCTTGCCTAGAGCCATCAATCACATCAACTTCATTGATCCCTCTACATGCTGTTGGACCGTAATCTGTATCCTCGTCTCCCCATCACAGTTTGCCTCCTGCCTGGCCAATCACTCCTGTATCGGTGATCCAACTGCTTTTGTCAATCCCGTCTACATACGCGCCTCCACCTGATATATCCTTGCCTCCAACTATCTCCAACTATCTGGCAGGACAGACAGATCGTTGATCAGCTCAAGTCTCTACTTCATTGATTCCTCTCCAATCTCAGCTAGACGTTGGTTTGTAGATCTCACAAACCTCACAGACCAGAACCCATTGGCTCTTCCATCAAGAGACAGCTTGTATGTCCACTCCACAACTGTACGTGTATCCACAAGACAGATCCATAGACAGATCGTTGATCAGCTAAAGTCTCTACTTCATCCATCTCTCCTCGATCTCAGCTAAAAGTTTGTTTGTAGATCTCACAAGCCTCACAGACCCACTGGCTCTTCCACCAAGAGACAGCTTGTATGTCCGCTACACAACTGTATTTGTATCAACAGACAGATCCATAGACAGATCGTTGATCAGCTAAAGTCTCTACTTCATCCATCTCTCCTCGATTTCAGATAGAAGTTGGTTTGTAGATCTCACAAGCCTCACAGACCCACTGGCTCTTCCACCAAGAGACAGCTTGTAGATCCACTCCACAACTGTCCACTGATGCTACACCTTCACACAGTGGTGCATCTTCAGAGATCTCTCCAAAGAGTTGCTCAAACGATTGTATCGGCTCTTCTTACTTCCATGGAATGGAAGATGTTGGGAGAATATTGCAAGATGCATAGTGTTTCATCAACTTCTACAGACTCTGAGTACCTGCAGCATCACCGCATTTCAAGGAAATTTGAGGGATTTACTTTGTCTACTTGTCTCACAGCCATTAAAACAGTAGTGGCCACAGTGACTGAGTACAAGATTCCTATGGTTCCAGAACTTAAAACCCTTCTGTAATCATGCAAGTTGGCTGATGAGTCCAGTCTTTATCCAGTCTCCCTAGCAGAATTATCTAGAACCATCATTGTTGTTTGGATGCGATCAGTAATCCTCTTAGCTTACACCCTCACCGTCAGGTTTGTTTCCAATCCTCATGAGACAAGAGCAGCCACTTCAACAATGATGTGCCACAGTAACAGCTCCTGGGTGTCAATCATGAAATTTCACACATGCAGCTGACAACCAAGGTCGCCAATAGTTTCGTCCCTTGGTCCTGTCTCAACAGCTATTGACTGGACGACAACACAGAGATATGTATCTACCCAGAGTTACAACTGGAACCAATACAACATTGGTCATTGGTCTTGTCTCAACAGCTATTGACTGGACGACAACACAGAGATGTGTATCTACCCAGAGTTACAACTGGAACCAATACAACATTGGTCATTGGTCCTGTCTCAACAGCTATTGACTGCCTGGCAACACAGAGAGATGTATCTACCCAGAGTTACAACTGGAACCAATACAACATTGGTCATTGGTCCTGTCTCAACAGCTATTGACTGCCTGGCAACACAGATATATGTATCTACCCAGAGTTACAACTGGAACCAATACAACATTGGTCATTGGTCCTGTCTCAACAGCTATTGACTGCCTGGCAACACAGAGAGATGTATCTACCCAGAGTTACAACTGGAACCAATACAACATTGGTCATTGGTCTTGTCTCAACAGCTATTGACTGCCTGGCAACACAGAGAGATGTATCTACCCAGAGTTACAACTGGAACCAATACAACATTGGTCATTGGTTTCTGGGGCCGGCATCAGACCCTACGATTCCATCAGTTATTCATAAAATTGGGGACAGAGATTCCTGTCTCTTAGCTTTGTCATTGTCCTTTGACAATAACACAGTGAGATATCACTTAACTCAGGATCGACCAAACCAGGGTGTTTTTTTAAAGTATTCCTAAGAGGTTTCTGAAGCAACCCAGCACAAGTTATAGCATACGATCTGATCATCTGAAAACTAGGTCAGTCTTCTTGTGAACGAATCATCACATAGTTCAACCTACAGACCAAGTTAGTCTGCGGCCCTCTGTACAACAGTTGATAAGTTGGTACATAAGTTGAGATAGGATAAGTTTAGAATTATTTATAATAATTATCCTTTCTCACAAGATGTCTTCCTTCCCAGCCAACCCTGCAACTGCAACTGCAACAGTTGGAGGTGGTGTGTGTTCGGGTGAGATGTTACAAGAGGCTGAAAACTTTTGTTTCCACTCCACAGTCAAAAGAACAAGGGAAAGTGCATGATGGAAGATGGGATAAGTAGCATACATATTACTTACAGTTAAAATTTTCAATTTTTATTTTTAATAGATATACCATAAACAAAGTAAACATTCTGGTGTGAGAAAGAAAATTACGGGACTTTTACCGTGGACAAGTTACAACGTGACAGTAACGGCAGACCGAGCCTACCAAGGAGATCCCACCACCATTACAGTCCAGACATTGGAAGATGGTAATGGCTGATATAATGTGTCTACAAGACTTCCATTGCAGTTATATATTTTCTGCTTGACCAGTTGGAAGTCAGTGCTTTATAGTGCATGTTTAACCCCCACTCTGCAATATTCCAGATATATGGCAGCAGTCTGTAAATAATCACATCTGGATAAAAGGCGACAAATGGGATCAGACGATCAGACACATGTCATCGCATCCAATTATGTAGATAAGTGCCCGTGTCGTTGATCACTTGATTGTCTTGTCCAGATTTGATTATTTTCAGACCTCCATTATAGCTGGAATATTACTGGGTGCGGCCAAACCAAAACTGAACCCTGGATTCTCTTAATGATATAATCCTTGGTCTTACAGGATTCATCTTACTGCTTGTGAGTGAGTTTAGTTTTACGCCGCACTCAGCAATATTCCAGATAAATAGTGAACACATCGTTCTGTATGGATATGGATTTCACGTGTCCCATGTTAAACCTCAGGGTCATTGTGCATAAATTGACTGACACTTTAATAGTTTTGTGTTCCAGCATTCAGTACGACTAACATTTTTTCAAATGAGTGAGTAAGTGAGTGAGTTTAGTTTTACGCTGCTCTCAGCAATATTTCAGCTATATTCCAGCGGTAAATAATCGAGTCTGCACCAGACAATCCAGTGATCAACAGCATGAGCATCGATCTGGGCAATTGGGAACCGATGACATGTGTCAACCAAGTCAGCGAGCCTGAAGACCCGATCTCTTATGACAGGCATGAGTTACTGAAGACCAATTCTAACCCAGACCTTCATCGGTCTGCTGCTTGTGAGATACAATCATATTAGGGAATGGATGTTGTTTTATGGCAGTCAGCAATATTCTATCATTTGTCAAGCGAAATAGTGATTGATATTATGATTGTCACCTACAGCCATCATAGCTTCCTACACATCCTCCATGTCAGAGCACAACTGGTATACGATACCGCAGCCATTTTAACTTGCAATGTTTCAGCCCAAGTTAAACTGATATGATGATTATACTGGAAAAACTGTGTCATTACAACCTTACTCACTGTCCAGGAATTACATTTGTATAACCGTTGTCTATATTTAATGATGATACCTGTGTTTGATTGCAGTCCCTCTGTCCAGTCCAACGATACCAAATGGGTGTTTCAGTGTCATAAACTCCACAGCTCTCATGTTGTACCCCAAGGTAAGTTACACGACAACTCTGACAGACGACGTATTTTACAAAAGGCTGCCTCTGCTAATTCTGTTTTTCTTGCAGCCCCAAAAACGTAATTTTAGAAGCAGCCACATCTCAATGAAATGTGGTGAACAAAGTTTAACATACTTTTAATGCAATAAATTATAATGTTTTCATATTTTTTCAAAAGCAAAAATGTTGATGTTTTAGGTCTTGATTGTTGATGTAACAATGAGTGAGTGAGTGAGTTTAGTCTTACGCCACACTCTGCAATGTTCCCGCTATATGGCGGCGGTCTTTAAATAATCGAGTCTGGACCAGACAATCCAGTGATCAACAGCATAAGCATCAGTCTGCGCAATGGAGAATGTGTCAACCAAGCCAGCGAGCCTGACCACCCGATCCCGTTAGTCGCCTCTTATGACAAGCATGGGTTACTGAAGGCCAGTTCTAACCCGGACCTTCACGGGTCGTTGATCTAACAACTGGATGCCACCTATCATTAGTCATATCTGCTTGGTGTTATTGTATGGCTTCGTTATTCCAGTCTGTTCCTGTGGAAGAGCAACAAGGGAAGATAACCCGATATGAGACAAAGACCACGAACTATACATCCTACTACTCACTGCTTGTGAATGGAGAAAATGACGGTGGATTTCGGGTGTCTTTACGTGCAGCCACCATAAGAGGACTTTCGAAACACCCAACCATATTTTCTGTGTCGAAACAAGATCTTGGTGAGTTTCCTGATAAAACTTCCATATTTAGTATATTTTTTGTTCAAAGGGAATCTGTTGTAGGTAATTGACTTACCTCAGAGTTGCCTCCCTTGGCCATGATCCACAAAGGTTTACATTCACCCTGATTATGACTGTCTGAATTACTCTTGCATTTAACCTTAAATATGAAATAAGCTCCTTCCCAGAGGATGACACCTTCATTTTCCTAACTGTAAACATCAGTTACAAGAAGCTTTAAAATATTCCCTGTAAGTGAGTTAGTTAGTATGGTTTTATGCCGCTTTTAGCAATATTCCAGCAATATCATGGCGTGGACACCAAAAATGGTCTTCACACATTGTACCCATGTAGGGAATTAAACCCAGGTCTTCAGCGGGATGAGTGAACGCTTCAACCACTAGACTACCGACAGCCCTATTTCCTCTAACCTACCGTTTAGTGGCATGTAGTAGAAATTTAACTGCATTCAAAGCTAAATTCAGCCTTGAAACAATAATGTAGGATGCTTCTTACCATCTGTGAAAGACATCACAAAACTAACACAAAGCAATACTTTTTCACAATCAAGACATAAAAGTGTATGTCAAGACATTAAAGTATATGTCAAGACATTAAAGTATATGTCAAGACATTACAGTATATATACGCACTCAACAATACAAAGTATGCGCTGAAGTGATTACAAGTGATTGCAAGAAAACATAATGTACACGTCATTACTTAGCTATGGACTGACCCAGATATACTAAATACATAAATCCATTAGGCCAGACCAATTCTATTTCTTGTTTTACGGATCCGCCGGTATTATTTTTTCAAGAATAAGGAAAAAAAATTTAAATAAATTTTCCCGTTCGAAAAATACAATCCTAATGTTAAGATATACGGGAGCGAAACTTCGATTACGCAAGGCAGTTTGTTGGACGCTCAGATGCTGGTATCTGTTCACAGAGACTTTAAGCTGAATTTAAACTAAAATCAGTGCTTTGAGCACCTCAGCGAGTGTGAACTTGAAAAACAATGCCTTTGAAAAAACTCACATGGGTTTTTGCTTTGACTGGTGATTTTTAAAAAAAAAATTAAATCCCCCTCCTGCCTTTAGGTTTTCTGAGGACAAAAATCCACAAAACAAGAAATAAAATTGGTCTGGCCTTATCTATTTCTATGGTTTCTGTGAGCACTGAGCAAACATTTCTGATCTATTTATTTGCAGAGACTCAGTCGATTACCTCAGTTTCTTTGGAAGATGGAGTGTTAACCTGGACAGCATCCAAGGCAGAAAAACAATTCCGAGTTTACTACTGTACTGGAAAAATGAAGCAGAACGTTGCTACATGCAAGGTACTTCATAATCATCATAATCATCATAATCATACTCAACAAAAGCATGTGAATGTTACGATTCAGGAAACACTATGGCCGAAAATGTTGAGTAATAGACACATTTAACCGGATGAAAAGGAGAGCAGACATATTTTTAGTTAGTTCAGAGTCAACCTTCCCATCCAACTCTGAACCATATTTAAAAGTATACATTCAGTGTTTTTCACTGAAACATGGTATATACATTGTATACATATCTGATATTTTCCAAATTTTGTTTATGTTTCCATGGAAACAATGTCGACTTCTCAAATGAGAGCGGGTTCTTTTAATGTTTTGTCTTTTTAGCTATTATTAAAACTTTTTGTATGATGTCTTTTGATGTTCAAATATTTATTTTTTATAGTTTTTTATTTTGTTGCATTTTTCAATATTTTATACAAACAAATAACAGTGATATTCCAGTATGCATGATGAACAATCAAATAGTTTTAGCAGAATAAATCATGGCATGACGACCAGTACGTATAGAAAGCATTGATATTACAACTAATTATTGACCAACACTTTGTTAACATATAATATTCAAACAGTTTATGTTGAAAAACTTGAAAAGATGGCATAATGTTGTTAAACTTATTTCGAAAAATTAGTTCCTTGAAGAGAATTAAGATGATATTTATTGGATCATTGTTTTTATTTGGGTAACCAAGCATTACATGTTTCTTTTCAATTTTGAGTTTTATTTGTGCTTTAGCCTGTAGCCAGTTCTCAATTTTTTTTCCATATATGGTTTACCTTGCTGCAAGACCAGAATAAGTGGATAGTTGTTTCTATATCTTCAGAGCAAAAACTACAATTACTGGTGTCTTTATATCCCATCTTTTCTAAAAAAATGTTTGTTGGCAAGATATGGTGTAAAAGTCTGTATTGGAACCATTGTTATCTAGTATCTTCCGTACATCTAAAGGGAATAGTATTGTCAAGTGGACAGTCATTAGATATAATGTCGTCGTATAAAATGTTAAGTTCAAATATGTTTTCAAAATGTTATTTATGTGTCGTGCAACAGGTTTGATTTCTCAAATGACGATAGGTTCTTTTGGGGGCCTTTTTTGTTTTGTTTTTTTATTAAACTTGTGATATGCTTTGCTCATGAGCCTAGCTGATGCCTATTGCTATTTAAATATTATTGCAAAAATTTATGCATATGTTTCCATGACAACAATTTGACTTCTCAAATGAGGGAAGAATCTTTTGGGGGCGCGTTATTTTTCTGCAAATATTGTTTTCCTGATTTCCAAACACACTAATTGCAACAGCTTGAACTAATGTATCAGAAAGGAAAGGGAGCAATATGAGTTGTTTTTTTTAGTAAAAAACAGATTCGAGCTTTTGTTGCCAATGGAAACGTGTTCACATTGCCAGCTCCTATGAAACAGAGTCGGTTATGCATGCTTTATTGACACTGTATTAAAGACTCCAGTCTTACCAGTTATCTTTGTTGGAATTCTTGGATGAAAAAACTGAATGAATTTTCTTCCCGACTTTTGAGAAAATGGTTAGCCAGTTGTTAGTAGCCTCATCAACAATTCACATGATTGGAGTAATATCTGACAGAAAAGAGTTGCCTTGATATTGGTTTTTGGATGCCGTTGCTTTTCCAGGAAACATCATGACTGTCCCACTAGATGTGGCTGTGGTGTACACAGTTACCTATAACTTTGAATCGAAATGTCTAGTAAAACTTCAATACAAATGTTTTAATGTTAGATACCTCTCCTCTGAATTCCCCCAAAGTATACTGAACATCATTGAAAGCGCACCACCTGTAAATTTTGAAATATGGTAATAGGATTGTTTTGAGACTGAAAATGAACGTTGGAAAGGTTGTAAATAACACAAAAGACAATAAATAATGCTGTACAGAAAAGAACGGATTGCACAAACACATCATAGAACACATCACATGACAACAACAAAATTCATGCACAACACACATGAAAAGCACAAATTGCAAGCATAAAACATGCTGATTAGGGGTATAAATGACCGTCAGCAAAAAAATATTCTCCTATTAGCTGTACCTCTGCAAGTATGTTTATTTTTCAATGCCAAGATTGTCACCAGAGGAACGAGAACGGGCGTTGGGCATGTTGCAGGTTGGCACATCAAGCAGGATTATTGCCAGACGATTTGGTTGCCATCATTCTGTAATACTGCTTTTCGCCGAAGCGAAATGACGACGAAGATGGCTGTCATGGGTTCAATCTTTTATTTTGAGTGTTGCAAGTTCGTTCTGATGATCCAGCATGTGTACTGATAATTTAGTGCCCTGGAACATTTAGGCAGTAATATAATTCACAATAACATGACATTCAACACATCACATCTTAATTCATGACATACTTAACATACCAATCATTACACCATGTTGAAATAACAGAAGTCATGTTCAGTACATTGAATTCAATTCTCCAGATTTAAATGGCAATAGATTTCATTTCATTACACTTCATTGAGTTCTAATACAAATGCCCATTTAAAATATTGCACGTTACATACAAAGAATAAAACCAGGAATGACACAGCCTAATACCATGTAGCAAAATCATTGATACACAAGCAGTCACTTACATATATATGGTATGCAGCTTATCAAGCATGGCGCTCCCCAAGACCACATGGCATACACGTTACCGTCTGTAGTACACAAACAGTACAACAATTCATTCAGTCAGTCACAAATCACACATTGGGGAAAATATAATGTGTTATGAATTAAATTATGACGTGTAATCATTTCATTTGGCAAGTAACTAACTTTGTAAAGATAATGTTTAAAATGCTTATTAAACTATCATAGAATTATTACTTTTAATTTATATTAACTACAAGAAATTACAATACAATTATAGTTAAAGATAAAATAAGCTTTTACTATGAATTGGATTATAACACCTATTTTACTTGTACTAACCAGCACTGTAAAAATACCATGCCAAAACAAAAAAGGCTCACCTGTCAATCCCTGTGTCCCAATGTGAAGTGAAGGTTAATTGCTCAGGTGTAACATGTAGAGCCAATTGTTTGCCAATGACATGACACAACCTTGAACTATGAGCCTTGACTGACAACCTTGACCTTGCCCAGAGCTAAATATATACAGTGATCTCAAAAACAACTGCATTTCTCTTGAAATGCTACCTTTGTCATCAATACAATTGATGAACTCTTTCACCACAAATGAACTAAATAACCTATAAAATACTACCACCTAAAACCTTTTTTTTATGAACTATTATTTTATAATTTTTATTTGCATTTTATGACCTATTAAAATGACCTCACCCGCAACATAATGACATTGCTAAAAATACAACTGGGAAATTGATACATTTTAGTTTTAAATCAACCATATGAAATGCCAGGGCATCAAACCCTGAAATTTTATTTCTGCTACACACTACCCCCCACAAAGAAATTGGCGTCCCCGCCATCAACCATGACCTTGAATGACTGACAGCAGTACATCAGATACTTTAGGAGGGAGATGTTCAAAAGTTCCACTCGTTGCCAAATTTTCCAAGAATCTTGCCTTTTCGAGCCACTCCGGTGGACGCACTGCATGTGCCATCACAAAATTGCCACTGGTATGCCATGCGGGTTTGCGTCTCTGTCGTCCGGAACAACGTGGTTCGTTATCGCAAGTGTGATTCTGTACTTCAATTGACACAGTAGCACTGTTTTCATCCAACTCTGTAGTATTTTCTTGAGCATTTTCTGGAGATAATGTCGCAGTTTCTAATTCGATAGCTTCATCAGCAGACTCTGATCTAGAATCTTCACTATCTGACATAGAATCACTCGATTCATCATCATTGTCATTATCATCATGTTTTGATACTACCACTTCGTCAGTCTCAGTTGAAGTTCCTGGAATTGAGGCACCTGACTGTTCTATGGCATCTGTTACTTTCAAAACACATGTCTCATCATGCTGAGAATACTCGCTTGTTGGATTATCAGTAACCTGGTTCTTTAACACATTCCTTGGCTTAGGTGTTGGACGCTGCTTCTGATCAATGTCAACACTGCTAATAGGAAGAAGATGATTTCTGTGCATAGTTTTAGACTTTCCTTCTCCTGCTTCTGGAGTGACTACATACACTGGAATATCTAAATTTGGATTTACCAACACTCTGTCGCCTACTATGACGTTTGCTCCTTGTGCCCGCTGATCATAACTTTGTTTTTGCCTTTGCTTGGCTTTCCTGGAAAGTTTTGCTGCAAGATCATATGATTGCTGCAACTGTTCCTTTAGAGCTTTGGTATAAGACTGTTGTGGTTTCTTTGAGTTTCTTTCAATACCAAACGCCAAATCAATTGGTAGTCTGGGATGGGATGGCGACCGTACATCAAATAGAATGGTGAAAACCCAGTCGTCTCATGACGTGTACAATTGTGGCGTGGACCAAAGGTGCGGCGATGTACTTTCCAGTCTGTTTTCTGATCTGGCTCTAAAGGTACCTAACATGCTGAGAAGGGTGCGATTAAATCTTTCACATTGCCCATTACCCATGGGGTGATAAAGGCGTTGTTCTTGATTTCTTTATACCTGTAATTGCACACAGTTCTTGAATTAAGAGTCCCTCAAAATTAGCACCCTGATCTGAATGAATTCTAAGCGGGATAACCAAACTGATATACAAAGTTGTTCAGAAATGCTTCAGCAGTCACAAATGACGAACTGTCATATTCTTGGTAGGAACAGCTAATGAGTACTTGGTAAAATGATCTGTAATCACCAAGATGTATTGGAAGATATTTTTGGAAGGTTCCAATGTCAAGAAATCCATGGCAACCAGTTCTAATGGATATGATGATGTTTGTACACTCACTAATGGTGCTTTAGAACTTGTTCTTGATTTCCTCAGCAAACAGCATGTACATCTCTTAATCCAAGTCTCTGTCTCTCCTGCCATTCCTGGTCAAAAGAATCTTTCTCTTATTAAAGA